TGCCAGGGAGGGGTGGGGGTCTTGGTATGCCAATACACGCTTGACCCGGTAAAGGAGGAGGGGGAGGGGGACCAGGCATGCCTGTCTGGCCAGGTAGGGGTGGGGGAGGAGGTGGATGGGGCATACCTGCATTCTGGCCTGGGAGAGGAGGGGCGGGAGGTGGAGGCGGCAAACCTGGTGTTGGCACGGGAACAGTAACTGTGACAACTCTCGTCTTCGCCTCTTCCAGATCTTTAGACAGCTTTTCAATCTGCAGGAGAGTAATGAAGGATGCTATCATACATTTGAATCATAATATGACTCGATATACTACTGTAACTCTCCACACCACAAACTGACGTTTATCAGTATGCATGTATGTATGTATACGTACAACTTGACTGTATATTGTTCATTCCTTGAATTGTCATTATTGTGTATAGCTTTGGCAATCTCCACCATTTCAAAAGAATGGCCATGCCGACAGTGATTAGATTTGAGAGAAAGAAAGAGTGATGTAGAGAGGGATTAAAGCATGGGAAGGATTGAGTTTTGGGAGAGATGGGGAGAGGATGGAGGACAAGTCACAAAGAGAAAAACACAACAGGGGGAATTAAGTCCAAAGAGGAAATCAAACGAAAAAAGTTTTTAAGAGGACAAACTCAAATTAATTTAAAGCGAGCGTGAAATTATTTTTTTTATTTCCACACTGAATGACTAATCACAGTATTTACATCAGTGAGGCACAACTCTTGAGAGAAACTGTCCAAGTCATTAAAATCAGCCAGCTAATATTGGCCTCTGCAAGGTCGGCGCTTTGAGATGGAGTACACTTTACACAACTCAGAGCGTAGTACAGAGAAGTTGATTCACTGGGTGGGTTCGACTTACAGAAGGTGTGTTGAGTGTGAACAGTGTGCCTGTGAAAGCGTGTCTGTCTGAAGCGTAACAAATTGTTTGTGTCGTTTCCTCAGACTTTGAAAAGAAGACAGCGACAGACATAAAGGGCCTTGGAGGCAAGCTTTCTTAGTGAGGCAGTAGATGAAGAGTTGGGCACAGCTTCACACAGAGGGACAGTGAGAGATCTCTACATGTGAAGAAATCTTGGATGGGCAGCGCCTCAAACACAGAGGAAGTGAGCCATCTTAGTATGAGAAGCTTGTCTGATGCCTGGCTGGTGATGCTTTTGATGCATCGGACAACTGTGTGTGCATATGTGTGTTAGGGCTTTTGTGTGGTGAGACGATGACTCTGCTGGCATCAGCCACTTTGGATGAAGCTCATTTTGGAAGCTGTGTAGTTCTCTCGCTGACTGACACACACACAAACAGCGGAACATCTTCACGTGGTCATGAGCACACATGCACAGAGGCAGACTGTTCTGGGTCACTTGGTGTGTTTGTGAGTTCGGGTGTCACTGTGAGGCAGAGTCCAGCTGGTGTGGCAGCAGGACACTGACAGCTAAACAATCCTCATCTTTGCCTCCCTACTGGATGAGTGCACACACACACACACACACACACACACACACACACACACACACACACACACACACACACACACACACACACACACACACACACACACACACACACACACACACACACACACACACACACACACACACACTTGGCCTTAAAACATTCAGTTTGTGCCATCTCCATCATTTTCCTTTCTTCTTCTTTCTTCTCCCTTTATTCACTCTTTATACTCCAATTCCTCCACTTTCCACTTTTTTTTTTATTGAGTTTCTTAATCTCTAAAGGATTTGGCTTATTCTCACGATATCCTTTTAGTTTGTTTCCTATTTTCATGCCATGCTGGCAGTTGGCAAACTCATTTAAGGCCAGGGGGCTTCTGTGTTTGTGTGGGTGTGCATAGATGTTGGACAACTTTTTGGTGCTTAGACTTCTGCAATATTGTATTCATCGAAGGCTCAAAATATTTCACTTCTTGCAGCTCTAGCAGAAGTTTCTGTTTTGTGTGGGTGTGTGGTTCCATTAAACTCACTGATTCAATGATCTGACTCAATCTATATGGACGTGTCCTAATGTTCTGGTTCTTTTTGTATTGTCTACGGCATCAAACAATGATGGAAGTACTGTATGAAGTCTGTTGGAGCTGATCACCTTGTCTGTATGAACTGTCAGATTCAGCTCACCTTTTCAATAGATGTAGGTGTGTATTGTAAGATGAATCCACTCAGCAAATAATTCTCTTAAAATGCAAACAATTCTGTTTTTATACTTGGAGTTATTTGAATTTAAAGAAAGGTAAGTATGTGTTTGTGTACCTGCTGTTGCAGAGTGCCTAGCTGTAGTTGCAGTCCCTGGTTCTCCATTTCTCGGTCCAGCTTCGAATTGGCCAGCTGTTCCTTCTCTTGGCTCAAGTCCTGCAGCTTCTGCTCATAGTCGCCCTCCAGTTTCGTCAGCTCCACCTGCAACTCGTGGCGTGATGTCAGCTCTGCATCCAGCTAATACACGTGTGGAAAGTCATAGAGAGGGACAGGCTTAGTTGCAGTATTCTTGAAGTGCAAAGTAGACTCTTTGTTGGCTTTTCCATTGTTGTGCAGTGCTCAATTCCAAGAAGAATTCTCTTGAGGCTGGCAAAAAATATTCTCTCAGGCACTAACAAACAATCCAATTGGCAACAGGACTGCACAGATACGGTGCTATTGTTGAGAAAATAGTGTTGGTGATGTGTATGTTTTATGAATATTCAGTTAAACACGTGCAACTTGTTCATATCCACCTGTCAGACTAAACTTCCCCTGGATATATGGCACAGACTCTAGTCAGCAAATATAAAGGACTTTTGTGCCAACAGTCTCATGTAACTGATACCAAAACAACAAACGTACATTTACCCTAAAAATATTATTTGAATTGAATGATTGAATTCAAATTCAATACTGAATAGTATTAGAAATGAATTACCAAAGGAATATATTAAATATTTGACAGCATTCTTGGTATAAAATAAAGGCAAATAATGGGTGTTTTGGGAGGGGTTCTATTACAGGATTAGGTTAGAGCTAGAGGTCTTCAAACGAAAGTTCCTTTTCTATACAATTGAATTTAAAGGATGACTGAAGAGCAGTAAAAGCTCAACATAAAATGCAAAGCATCGATATCAAGCCCAAAGTTACCAAAACACCACGGCTCTCGACTGAGATATGGGAGCAAAGCATGCAAAAGCTTTTCGTCTCCCTCTTGAAGCTGCAGCACTTTTTTATAGCTCAAAGACCAGTGGAAGCCATTTCTTACAGTCTAGTGCCTTCAGTTTCATTATATAAATTGTACTGGTAATTAGTGTCAATTATTGAGTTAGGATGCTCTAGTGCACTTGTATTAGTTCACGTCTCTCTTTCATTTTAAGCGTATGCATTTTTTTTAAGGAAAAAAAGAACATTTTGTACCCTAGTTTAACGTCCCCACTTTCATAAATTGTCAAGTGTTTTCTTCTAGCACACTTGACAAACAGGATAAGAGTATGCAAACAGATGACAACATGAACACACAGACACACATGGCCGTTTCATTTCATTTCCGACAGCAGATCCGTTACTCTAGCTGTCAGCGTCCTGACAGCCTCATCCCTAATTCCTGCCAAAGAGACTGCCTGCAATTACCCCTAGCACTATGGTGTGTGTGTGTGTGTGTGTGTGTGTGTGTGTGTGTGTGTGTGTGTGTGTGTGTGTGTGTGTGTGTGTGTGTGTGTGTGTGTGTGTGTGTGTGTGTGTGTCAATGAATCCAAGTGTGTTCATGTAATGTGTGCTTGTGTGGATGTGCGTGGATAAATGGATATGATCCAATGTGAGTGTGTGTCGTTATGCATGCCTGAAAGAAGGCTAGTTGCAGCTCTCTCTTTGCAATTATCCTGTCACTGGAACAGGAACATCAGGCCAGCAGCGTGTCGCAATCAAGGCATTTACCCCCCTGTGTGTGTGTGTGTGTGTGTGTGTGTGTGTGTGTGTGTGTGTGTGTGTGTGTGTGTGTGTGTGTGTGTGTGTGTGTGTGTGTGTGTTATTTGCTAGCCTATAGAGTATTTGTCTGTCGGACACATGAATTATTATTTTCTTAGTCACCCTCTGTCCCTCCCTTTTTTCTTATTTGTCACCTCATGTCAGACAAACACTGGTCGCATAGAATTTCATTACAATCTCAATGTGTGTGAGCGGGAGACGTTGGCTTTAACAATGTATGAATCTTTTTTGATTGTGACAGGTTTTTCTGGGATGACGTGAAAATATGTGTGTGTGTGTGACTTGCTGTTGCTTGTGTGAGCGTGTCTGGTTATTTAACGTGAATCATTTTGAGTGCGTTTCACCTTCTTTTCCAGCTCAGATGCCTTGGCCTCGCTTGTTTCTACCTTGGTTTGGTCCACCATGTTGTCTGCGGACAAACAGAGAGAGGACAGAATAATGGAAAAGAGAAAGAGAAAAAAAAAGGTGGTGGGTAAGATAAGGGTTTCAGACAATGCACCTGCACACGTCTGGAAGTGAAGACATCGCACGCTTCAGTCTGGCACATGCGGTGTGCCCAGATACACATTCACAAACAGATGCATACACACAAAGAAAGGATCCTATCGGTCTTCCTGTTTCTCCCTTATCACACCACTCAAAGTCAAGATCTGTGAGAAGATTGTGGAGGCATCTCATTACAACAGGGTGCCATCTGTTGCATTCTGCTTCTACACATCATTACCTTTTAAACATCCAATACATACACCTTTGTCTGGCTGTGTGTCTGTGCAAGAGAGGTGGGAGCACACGAAATACATCTGACACCATTTTATAATAATAATAATAATGTAATATAATAATAAAAAAGACTATATAACAGTGTTAAAGTAATCCACTATCAGAGGTTGTTCTTGGTATAGGACCAGGTGAGAAGGACACATGCTGCCAATAGGGTTCCTTTGCAGAATAAGTGCAGGGCGGTGCCGTAAAATAACTAATTAACATGAAGATGGATGCCACAAAGTCACCGGATGAAAGACAGCTAATCATGATCCCAGGAGAGGGATCAAACAGATAGATAGCAGAGATAGAAGAGCTGGAAAAAGCTAAATAGTAAATGAAGTAATGGAATAACTTATAGAAAGTGAAATATACAGATTGTGAAGAGATAAAGTTTGAGTCTGAAAATATGGCTGGTGGAAAAAGAAGTGGAAGCTGCCTTATATCTAGATAGGCTAGGCAGAGCAAAAATAGGAAATCTATTTTGTGAGAGAGAAGATTTTGCCAGATGAAAGGACTTCACAATAATATGCCAACCCACACACAATTTCAGAGCGTGCATTTGTATGAGTTTACATGGTTATTGGATGCGTAATGGAAGAAGGGGGGCTGTTACTTCTGTCATGGTGGCAAGGCTAAATGGGACAAACTTGGAATAGAGAGCACTAAGGGAGCCAGAATATGGGGAGAAAACTGTGCTGAATTTCAGAGTTCAAAGAAAAACACTAAATAATGCATGCAGGGCAGAATTGGGCTGCTTTCCACCGATAATAACTCTGGCAGCATTAAAGGAGGCCAGCCAGTTTGTGTGTATGTCAGGACCCATTTAGAAGCAGTGCAATTAGAGCCTCCTGTGGTGAGCAACGGAGACCCGCCATAAAGGAGTATTGAACTCTTGAGACATGGCCTGCAACTCCATTATGCTCTGGTTTGGTTTACTATAGTCAGCAGGTGTTTCCAGTGCTGTCACTCAAGTCTACAATTCCACATGCACTTAAATGCATATGCACCACAGCAAAATTCAGCATTTCATGTGTGTGTAAAAAAAGAAGTGCCAGGAAATGACATGGATCAGGGGCCATCATAATGCTTTCTTGTTATTCCAGTAGCTGGTAGGCATTCTGTGTCTCGCTCACAGCCACTTATGATAGGTTCACAAGGTTTACCATTTTTTTTTTATCTGTCTTAAAACTATAATTGTGTGCATACATGTGCATCAAATGACTTTAAATAACTTGCTGTAACCACTACTAGCCATTAAAGATCGTTTCCAAATGTGCTTGCAATGGAAGCGATAGAGGGAAAACTATACAGTCAGCGTTCTGTGCAAAAACATATTTATCTGAAGCCAATATGAGGCTCCAGCAGTCTGTGTTAATCAAATCAAGTGAGAACCCTCCTAAGTCTTCCTAGAATTCCCTTTTTTCTGTTTCCCCTGAAACAGTTTTCTCCAAAAGTGTCTTCTTGCTGAGCTGCAGCAAAGGCATAGCAAGCTGAAAAGGCAGTGGCTTTGGAAAGTACTCAACTTGATTTGATTAACTCAAACTGCTTAAGCTTAGCCTATTTTATTATCAAGGAGAAATCTCTAAAAGGGTCCTTTTTACTCGAGTTGAAAGGACATCAGGACAGGATCTTTAAATGGCCCGTTTGAAAAGGAGGAATAATCACACCTTTGATGCCCAATTAAAAGACTTGTGAACCTATTCAAAGGCACATGAACACATGTACCTGGGCCTTGCTGAATTCATACCTTTTTCTAGTATTAATACATTCACCACAAGCACCTGAGAGTTTAAATAAAACCAATTGTGTGTCAGGGATCAAACGTTGGAGATATCAGATGAATCTCACCTACTATATAGTACTTTATAGCTAAAGATCATATTTTACCACCAACCAGTGACTGTAAAACCTGTAGCACAATTCAGCTCAAAGGTACACTCTTCCACTCTGGCTCCACCCTGTGGTTGTACTCTACAATTGACAACCATGGAATTATACACTGTATTATGACCAAGGTTAAATCACATAGGCCAGGTATAATAATGTCAGGGTTTGTGGGTGGGGCTGGCCAGAAGTGAGACATGGTTGAAGGTTCAACTCGCACAGCACTGAGCCACAGTGTTGAAGTTTAATGACTGTGAAAAGGAATATGGGTCCACCTGTTTCAGGGTGTTTGTTGATGAGCCAGAAGGTGTCATGGTGTGAAAAGGAAACGTAATATCATGCGTTTTCTGGTCCATGAAACTCACCTATCAAGCCTTCGATGTTGAAGCCGATGCTACGGCACTTGAAGTCCGGGTCCGCTCCATTTCTGTGAAGCACAACCTGAGCAATACACTCGTCTATCAACTTGTAGTACTGAGGCCTGCAGGATGGAGAGAGTGACAGATTTACAGAGAGATGGATTAGAAGATGGAGAGAAAGAAGTGGAGAGAGAAAATGGGAAGATGGTGAGAAGGATGGAAAAACAATGGACAACAGTTAGTGTGTGATGCTGGGGGGAAAAGGAATGTGTCATACTTCACATGTTTCGACCACAATGACATTTATAGCAAATGTTTTATAACAAATATTTGTTCTATACCAGTGAAGCCTGCATGAATAAGAACACAATGTTGAGCGGGGCATGGGACTGAAGAGATGAAAGTAGGTTCATTTGTGTGAACACACATGCTTCGTCACTTTGTCTCTGTCTGCTGCTGAGATTGGCTGTCTGTGTGACCATGACAGTTTGAGTTTCTTGTCACAATGATTGATTGTGTGCAACTGTGTTCTTGAGAGTGTGTTGGTGTATGTCCAGCGCCCCGTGTCTGATCAAACCAGCTTCACACCGACACTCCATTTTGGAGGTGTCTTTTTCCCTGACCCCATTAGATGCTCTCAGAGTCACAAACTCAATACTTTATTTATTCTGTCTCCCTGCATCTCGTCTCTCTTAGTCATTCTGCCTTTGTCTAACACTTATTCCACTCCTTCAATATACTTCAAGGTTTTTTTTTTTGTAAAGCTTAGATTTATCCGTGGAGCGAGAGAGACATCTAGTGTCTTTCTGTAAAACTGGAATAGGTTTGTTTGGCTACATCCAAGAGCTGGCATTTAATACAAGCCTAATAATAGGAGAAATGTGGTTGGTAGGCCTGAGGTTATACACATTTTGAAAAATTATAAAATACATATATGTGTCATTACATTTTTAAATCTATAAGGCTGTTTGCGGTCTATGTGCATGCTTAGTATGTGCATGACTAGAGGTATGGAAATACATTTAAGTACTCTGTTAGATCCTCAGGTAACCGTTTCCACTTGAGCTTGAGAAACTGTAAGAGCAAATCAGCAGGTGCTCTTTCATTCATTCCCACACAAATGCAAAGCCTGCTTTTCCCTGTACGTCTCTCCCTCATTCCCTCAACATCTACCTAGCAATTTGCTTCAACTCTCAATTTCTTCTTCATTATAGTCTCGCCCTCCACCTCGCTTCTCCCCTCATCACTGTAATTATCAAGAGGTATTTTCTGCCACGATATAGCTCTCCCTCCCCCTCACTTCCTGTCTCTCTGAGGAGTCCATTACAGACCACCTCTGTTGTGGATCACAGATCACCTGGATGGAGGAAGCAGGACAGGAAAGAGGGAGGGATGGAAGAGAGGGGAGGTGAAAAAAGACCTCAGCTGGGACCATTTGTTTGGTCCAACCTACCTATTCAAGCCTCACAATTTATTCCCCAAACTGTGTTAAAAATAAACCACAATTTCAATTTCCTGCCTGTCTGATAGCATCAAGGCAACGCTGACCATCAACACTACAACATCAAATGTGTGCATGCCTGGGCAGGCTGTTGTGAGTGTTTGCCTGTTTTCTGTGATGTTCAGCAAAGCAAACACATTCCTCTTGTGTGTTGCTGACTGTGAATGTGGACATGCGTGTACAAATGTGCGAACACTATGCCGTACAACTCTCCACTTCCTTAACATTATTCTATCCCCGTCTTGTCATTCAATTATTCACTCTTCTCTTCTCCTCTGTTTCCCCAGCTAAACTCCCAAGGGCTTTGGAAGACACAGGGAGAGACATTAGCATATTTCTGGTGATAAGAGGTGATGGCGTTCATTTCTATTAAAATGGAATTGGACTTCTTTGCATGTATTAATTTCTCAGCCTTTGAATGGCGCTCTTGAAAACAAACAGCAAATGGACTGAGAGAAGGGAGAGGAGGACTACTTCTTCAATTCCTTTTGCCTTGATTGTTTTGCTGTACTTTTATGGGACTGCATTGAAACTGCTAAATCAATTGCCAGTGACTGTGACATGACTACTGTCTTTATGATATGGCTGTATCAGGCTGCAATTGGGAATCTGAATTCTTATTCTAGAGTCAATCTCTGCATATTTGCCTTTTGCTACATGCACTGTTTCTCTGAATCCATTTGAATAATTAACCTCATTGTAATTTTCACCCACAAATGAGATTTAACGTATGATAATGATAGAATGTATGTAGTCTCATCACAGAACCTATATCACCATTTCAGCTGTAATATGTGAATGGCTGGGTCGGTGCAGGTGTGCGAGGGAATTGACATGTATGAGTGTGTATATGTCCGTGTGTTACCTGGCCAAGTAGTCATTACGGACTAGCAGCAGGTGCTGCATCATGGACAGGAAGTGGGTTTCTCCCTTGGAGTCCTTCACTGTGTTGACTAGGATCTCAAACACTTCCCTCACATCAGTGAAGCAAAAGCAGTTAAGGCTTAATTAACATAATACAATAAAAGAGTTCTACACCTTTTTAAATATACACAACATCTTTAACACAAAGTGAGTATTCTGAATAGTCTTGCAGTAACTTTTGCTGTATATACACCATTTAAAAGGCTTGGAGCAACAAACCTGAACACTGAATATCATGTATGAGTTCAGAATCTACAGTGAACTACAGACCAGGCTTTTAATCCCTTCTTATACACTTTGTCGTATAGACACGATGAGATTCTAACATGTCTTGTACAACTACTACAACCAGTAGTATCACACAAATATGTTTAAGTTTCAAAAATAATTTGACCTCAGTGGTTATTCAATGCTGCAGTAGGACTGTGTTTACACGGTGTTGGGTAGCCCTAGGAGACACCTGGTGTTGAAACATATTACTGCAAGCCACAGACTGCACACAGAATTACAGGAGTTGTTTGAATAATCTTTTAAGCTGTTAATCAAAGTGTGCTGTAGTAGTAAGAATTACTGGATGTCACACTGAGTCAAATAGCCTCAAACAGTAAGTGTTGTGTGATAACGAACACAAGAGAGTCCTTTTAAATCTTAATCTGTAAACATGCTTTTTGTCAAACCAGGACAACATCATGATAGACATAAACGTTTAAAAGGTGGAGATCATATTGGAGAAGAATTGAGCTGCACACAACTTAGCAGTAATTGGACTGACCCTTCTCTGTACAAAAAGAAAAGAACAGATGGTTCTGACCTGCAGCAAAGCAATGTCAAAGTCCACCGGTGGTTGGATGTTTTGCTGCTTTTACCGCACTGCAGATGAGTAGCAAATGTCTGTGAGCTGCTAATTGGCAAAGACGGATTAGGCTGAAAAAAAGTCAGACAGGGTTACACTGCCCCTAGAGCCTGAAAGATGATGCTTATCAAATATGAAAATATTCATTTCTGTTACGAAAAAAAGGCACAAAGTAAGGGGTCGGGCTTATAACAGGGAAGAAAAGAGAAATCAGATTTTGTGTGGATTGAAACTAATTTTATAGTAAAGGGACACGTGCATTGCTATTTCCTATTTGTTTGTACATATTCCTTCTAAGCATTATAAAAGTTATTCCTTTGACTCTAGCAAATAAAGTCAAAGCGAAAACACAAGCATGCAAAGTTGTGTCGTAAACCACGTATAGATTTTCAAGGTCAAAAAGTTGACCCTGAGGAAACATTTTGCCCAGTGGAAGGATATTCCATCTCAATGCGGATGTCATCAAGACGCGCTTTGAGGTCCTCAGAGTCATCTTCAGCCTGCTCATCAAACACGGTGAGTTGCACCCTCAGCTCTTCGTTTTCTATCTTCCGCACCTCCTGCAGAGAGAGCGATGGGATACAGGCGGAGGGATGAAAAGGCAAGCGGGAGAATGACAGGGAGAATGTGACAAACATTGAGTGAGGACAGTTGAGAGAAAAAAAAATTCACAGCATAAGCAAGACAGAGGCATCAAGAGAGACAGACATGAAGAGTAAGTACTTGTGTGTGTTGTTAGAGAGTCACTTTGAAAACATCAAAAGAGAGTTCTTTCTGTACCGTCAGCAGCTCTCGGAGTCCCAATCTCAGCAGTTCAGAGCGAATATGGATCCTGAAGTCCAGCTCTTCTCCGCGGCTTATCAAGGCGTTGATTAGCTGCATGCAGCCACCCTGTTGAAAACACGCCAGGAAGTTAGCTTCAATTCAGACTAACTGGAAATATGATAACTATAATACAAAACACAATAAGTATCCGCTGAGTCAGTCTTTTACAGGGCAGATTGCATTGACTAGGGCTGTCAATCAAATGCAATTGGGTCTGTGTCTTTTATCAACAAGAATACATGTGGGGATTTATAATTGCTAAGGTGCGTGTGGATGTGCACCTTTAGAGCGATGTTGTGATTTCTCATGCCAGAAAGGAGAGGCTGGAACCTTTCGATGTCCTGTCTCTCCGCCTCCTCTGTGATGGCCTCCAAAACACGCTCATGACTGCAACAAAAACAGACAATTATGCATCTGATATAAAACATCGTTATATGCTGTTACTAGAGAGGCACAGACTTAATGTTAATGGACGAATCATGCCAAGTTGCCCTCAGCCTATTGGCAAATGAGATGACATTCATCCATGGCAGTGGATCTGTTTTGTGCATCAGTTTAGCACCCGATAAATGTCCTTTCAGTTATTTGCAGGCAGACTCTGAAGCAGTCGCTGGCATACCGAGACGCTGGCTGGCTCAGGGAGGATGAAGGAGCACAATGGGTAGCGGCATGCACATGTGGTTTGTATACAAATGAAAGAACATGTTGGCCGTGTGGGAGTGTTGCTATGTCTCTCCAGAAATGGGGCCACTCTATGATGTTGGAGAAATAATCACCTCCATTTTCCAGCATTATGTGCTCCATGGGCAGTGAGGAGCTCTATGTCTCACATTTTGGATAAGAAAAGAAATAGACTGAGTGGAGAAGCTTAATCAATCTTTAGTATCATTAGTAGTGAGCGGGCAATACGTATAGGTAGTTGTTGTAGCAGGATGAAATGGCTTTTAAAGACGCTATTCAGTTATTGTTTGCACTCTCATTTGCACTATGTACATCATCTTTTTTGAAATATATATCCTGCTTACTTGAAGTTAACGGTTATTTTGTGTTTTTTTGTAAATATTGAGTGTTCTTGTACTTTAATGTGTGTTTTCTGTATACCTCGGGACTGTGGAAAACAGTATTTTGATCTTTGTGTGTGTACAAACATATTTTGAGATTGACAATAAAGTTGACTTTTACTTGATTTAAAAAAACAATCACCAGTTAAATATGTGTATCGGTTCAGTATCTAGAATAGGTGCATCTCTAGTTCATCAAATATGAATACACAAATACTACATTTGCCTTGAAAATAATGAATGCAGAAAAAAGTGCATTCTGTCGCTTTGCTTGACAGTTTTAATTGAAACCTGACATACAGGTGAAAGAGACAAAAGTATGTTCAGTTATAAATATAAAATGCTGGATTATTCCTAATTGCTAACAGAAAACATATTAGACTTTGAACTGTGAACAATAATTGGTTTTCCAGGCTCATCTTTTCTGTACATTATATTAAGGACATGGTGTCAGAATGTCCCTATAACACCTACAGGTTCTCAGGATGTTCCATTATGGAGATGGCAGAAAGCAGCTTGACAGCGTCCACCATCATGTGAGACACCCGGGGGTTGATGGCTTTGACCAGCAGAGGAATCCCTTCCGCTGAATCCAGCATGGATTTTAGGCCGCACTAAAGACAGAAAGAAAGTGTGATGATGATGATGATGATGATGATGAGAGAAAGCTGAATGAGCAAGATAACGATCAGCCTTTCATGTTTAAAATGATAGTGTTTACATCACAATCGATTTTTCTCTTGCAGGCTCCACATCATTTACACTCATTAAAATGATGTGTAATTATTAAATGTGATTTATGCTAATTATCTAGTGTTGGTTGCATTCACAAATTTAAAAAAATGAAAGCACAAGAGTTATTATTGACAGCATGTATTGAACAGCAAAGTTGGTCACATTGACGCCCTCTAGTGGAAGAAGTGCTACACTGCAGATAGGACACAACATGGGCTTAGAATGAGTCTATTACTTGGTCTGTTACAACTACAGGCAACAACAATGTAAACCATAATAAAGACAGAATGAAGGATTTCTATGCAATTAATAATACATTGTCTTACCTTGTTGTTCATGAAGGCTTTTAGACAGCGGATGATCTCGTGTTGACATTTCACTCCGATATGTCTAGTTTGTGGAGAAAAGTAGAGATACAAAAAAGACATTACAAACACACTGCTAAAGAGTCAAATTGCTTATCGTGTGGTTTAAATGTCTCACGAGCACTCTTCTTTGTCGTCCTGTAGTTTTCTAAGCAGATTCAGCAGCAGGGCCAGCCCCTCATCTCCGAAGTTCTGCACCCAACTGGAAGAGATGAGAGGACATGATCGATACACTGTACTTTCATATTTTCACATTTTATGGCTCACTTTCTATTTGGTGGTTTTTCACATTGACATTATCTTGCAATTGTATGTTAGAAATAATAATACAAATGTAAAAGTGTTGTTTTGTTTTTTTACATTTGAGCTTAAGCATTTCATTTGGCTTCTTGGTACTCCTCTGAACGTACTGAATAGAGAGAGATACTGCGTGAATTGTGACAAAGACCTACTGAACCTACTCTTAACCTTAAAGTTTTGGATAAAAGCGTCAGCTAAATGCAATGTAAATGTAAATGTAAAGTCCTTTTAGGCATGTATCATTTGAGTAGCACTAGCATGAAGTACTTGAATTTCTGGTGTTAAAGTAAACTTCATAATGTTGAAAAATTTCATTTTCTTTTAATGACACATTTGTTGTTACATTTTGTTGGCTAAATGATAGCTTGTTATGTTGTGTATGTAGCTGACGCTGTAGCCTGTAGGCTTTCTCTTATACAGAAGAATCGCTGACACAGTGCTTAAACAGTGTTTCGTGTAAGTAACTGAACTTACTTTGCCGCCTGCCATTTTGTTGAGATGTGTTGTAAATTAATATTAATATATGTTTCTAGAATATTGTAATCGAAAAAAATAAAATAAATGTAGGGCCATATCTACCACAGCTGTGTGAGGAACAAAATGTTGCTACCTTTAAGTCAGCTTTTTAAAATAAAAGCTTCTTAATTAGCAAGTGAAGCATATGTAAATAGGATGATATCACCTTTGCACCTGAAGACACTGCAATGCTTATTTCTCTTTCTTTGTAAAAGGGCTTGAGTTCTGTCAAGTTACATGGCGATAATTAAAGATCAGTGAAGTTTCAATTGGATCGAGGCCTCGAGATCACACAAGGAGATTGACACAGTTCATTTGAAGGAGTTATTGCATGAATCTGGTTTGATGTGTTATTTGAATTGACACTGTGTGTACCTGGATATCACTGTGTGTGTGTACCTGGATATATGTGTGTACCTGGGTGTGTGTGTGTGTGTGTGTGTGTGTGTGTGTGTGTATGTGCGTGTGTGTGTATGTGCGTGTGTGTGTATGTGCGTGTATGTGCGTGTGTGTGTGTGTATGTGAGTGACATACACACCTAGACTTTTGGGGACCCTAAGCGAGCTTTGGCTTGGGGGCCCCCCTCACTCTAGCGCGTTCTCACTACAACACGGNATTGCATGAATCTGGTTTGATGTGTTATTTGAATTGACACTGTGTGTACCTGGATATCACTGTGTGTGTGTACCTGGATATATGTGTGTACCTGGGTGTGTGTGTGTGTGTGTGTGTGTGTGTGTGTGTGTGTGTGTGTGTGTGTGTTACCTGACAGGGTTGTTGTTGAGTGAGACTCGCAGAGATTCCAGACAGCTCAGCAGCTGTACGTCTCTGTAGTCTGACTTTAACTCCTGGATGTACATCATGGCTGATTTGGTGCTCTCCTTCTGGCTTTGACCCTAAATCAACAAATACAAAATCACTCTGTTTTTTAGCATTTATATGCATCTTGTTACAGGTTGTAATTGGTGTTCTCTTTACAAGCAAGCACGTGGCAGGGCACCAAGGGCAACATTCAAGCCTACATTTACATTTTGATTAGCAGATTTCAAGGGTACTGTGCGCAGTATTTTCTCTTAATAGGCTTATTTCAAAGTTAAATGAACTGTTAGGAACCATCTGTGCTTGTGTATATAGGTCCTTCGAGCTACTCTTTCACTATTTTGGATTATTTTATACATGCTGCTTCATTTACCCAATTATGCAATGGTAGCTGGTCTTTCTAAGGCTGGTTGTGCTTTTTATTGACTCTACATTCACCAGGGAACATATTTGTATAATGTCTATAACAAAGCAAAGGAAAGGGATCCCTGAACACAGAGTCAAGGGAAGGCATTTGACTCCACATTTGAGTAATCAATTAATCAAATATTGTTAGAGCCATTTTCATTTAGTCATTATGGTTTGAATATTAGGCTTAATAATTATATAAGGATTTAGATTAAACTCTTAATCATTTATTTTTGTGAGTCACACTATGGTTTAAAAGATATTCATTTAAGGCTCACTTATTTGTTACCAAATGTGCGTCAGGTATCGCGTGCATGTCTAAATGCCTATATATGGCAGGACAATGGGACACAGCTGATTGTGATGAGAAGGGGAAGAGTGCTCCTTTTGATACTGATAACTTTGAGTTACTATGAAGCGAGGAAATGTGTCTTCCTGTTTCTATGCCGTTTGGATCAATTAATAAAACTGATCTGATTCAACAACGATCTCAGCTAAATGTATTTGGCGCGTCAAAACCCACAACCCCGACAGAGAATAGGTTATTAAATGTAGACACGGATTAAAACGCCACCACAAATATAATAGTGTCACTGTATGATCGGATCACTTTTCTCATTTGGCCTAAAAAAAAATCCTTCTGCTTTCATATATTTGATCACTTTGGTTTTAAAAATAAACATGAGAAAACCCATATGGGGCACTATGTGTTTAGAACAGGACAATACGGCATTTAAAGGCCCAACCGTTTAGTTCTTCTGAAAAACAACAACTTGCATGAAGCCGTCTGTAAATTCCCTGCAGCACAATAAGCAATGTGTATTTTGGTACTGACCGCTTTAGACGTGTGGAGGTACTGGGAGACCATCTCTCGTTTGATCATAATGTCTTTTGCCCTGAGAGGCTGCTGCTTCTCCCCATTCAGGTTCATATCCACCTGAAGAAAGGCAGGAGGAAGAAGAGGAGACAAATACGGTTGGATGATGATCAGTGCATGATGACATTTTCATCTGTAGACTCATGCAATTAACAAACAGAAAATGCATACTAAAATGGAAAACACTTTTGTATTTTATGAGATATTTTCCTTATAGTCTTTACTAAATTGAAGGCAAGGGATATAAAGCCCCCAGTGAGATGATAATGGATGCTTTAACAGAAGTCTAAAAGTGTGAGCTTTGGATTTGCTAAGTCAGATAATGAGGAGAATTATTAGATAATGTCATAACTTTTAGAAATGCAAACATTTAAGTCGCAAGAAATGTGTGTTTTGTGTTTAAAGGAAGTACTTCACATTTGTGTTAAAGCATACATATTGGGAGCATACACAGAAATAATGAAGGTATCTGTGAGAGGAATATACAATGTACACGTTTCCATGGCTGTTCACAGGACATGGTGGACGGGTCATTCTCCAAAAGCTAACTCTTTCCCACACAAACCAACACAGTCTTTCTCACCAGCATCTGTTCGAACAGGTCCAGGACAGATTCATCTGAAAGATCGTGCAGCATGGGACTCTGAGCGTTGATCTCGTAGTTAGCCGCTGAAGAGTGCCGCTGACTTGGGACCGGGCCGGGCTTCTCCTTGTCCTTCTTCATCCTCATGCTGGTGAAACGCTCCAACTGGATTATCAGACGACATGACACGGGTTAGAGGAAAGGGGTCGGAGGGAAAACAAACAGTGTAAGCATCACAGTAAGGACACAGAACAAGCTAGCAATCCCTAATCAACTCCCAATGTTAAACAAATGAACAAATATAAAATGCATGAGGGCTATTTGTAAATGAGTTTTAGTATTTTCTGTTTAGTAATAAAACAGTAGAAACCTTTCAACAAAGTGAGACGAGGATTAGGGATTAAAGACGTCAAACATTTTGCCAACAGACATTTCACACATGCAGTGAGCGCTGACACGAGCAGAGCATAACACTCATTGTTTGATAAAGGAATTGTAAAAGAAAATGACTTTGTGTGGTCATGTGTTAAACCTTGTGTTGAAGAACATACATTTTTGGTTATACATGTAATCTTGGCACATTCTGACAGTGACCGTGGACAATGATTTATGAATAGTAATCTGTTAATATAAGTATGACTCCTCCATGAGTGCATCCTAAAAGCATGCACATACAGTGTGAGTACAGCACAGGACAAAACACGCACTTAAAAACATTTGTGTTATTGTGGATAAGGTTTGTGTGGCAGACATTGTGAACATGACAGGAAATGGATAATTGTCAGTTGAGTTATAGGTAACACGGAGAAATGGACAAGCACATATGTGATGGTCGAACGCAATAACAAACCTACCTCGTCAGGAATCAGGCGTTTGAGTTTCTATAAACGGACGAATGGATGATGGGGAGAAACATTTAATGGAAGGGAAGGAATATCAAACAAACGGATTGAGGGAGAAAAAGAGAAAGAATCAATTAGACAGAAATTAAATAAAACAGGAAACAGATCCAAGAAACTGTCTACAGAGTTTATAGGAGATTAACGGTAGGACAGAAGGAAACACCATCAACAAATCACTTTCATAACTGAATTGATACACATTTATAGAGAATTCATTTCATTAAATTGGAGTTAAAGTTGAGGAAATCAAAGGTCTTAAATACACGAGTGACCAATAGGCAGCAGATCAGCAGTCAACACTGATCAGTCAAAGGCTCAGAGACATTAATACATTTTTCAATCGTGGAAATGGCCAACTCTAATATATGTAAAATACATTTGCATCTCTTGGCCACAAGGTGTCAGGCTAGCTCTACTAATGTTCCCATAGGAAACCCAATGTTAGCAGAAACTCAAGCACATGCCCCTGACAAAGCCCAAGCTAGGCAAATAACAGATACATCATTCAGAACCAATATTAAGGTTACGAAGTAGCGGGGAATAGGGGATGAGCCTGAAGTGAAAAACACTGCTTTCAAGAACCTTATCAAAGTTAAAGTACGACGATATCCACATTTAGTTCTTGATTGAAAGCTGGCCTAGTATTACAAGATCAAGTCAATACTTTTTCCACATATTTTGACAGAGGAAAGCAAAAGTCACAAGACACTTCCAAGTGCCTCACTACGTAAACAACGTACAATAAATCCAAAGTGAGTTAACCTTGGGGGGGGGTCAGTCCCAGAGGCAGAGAGGTCAAAGTCTTCTCATTTAAAGAGCACACAAACGTAGTCAAAGCAGTGCTATTCACTGATGCTGACCCTGTGTAGGAAAGGTGCATTAGCCTGTGTGTGTCTGTTGGTAGACAAAACAACTCCAGGTAGGAAAAGCTTTTTGAAACTGAATTTAAACTTGAAAAGGTTTAAACAGGTTGTTGTGGCGTTGCTGCTTGTTGATCTCATGTATCAGCTATTCTGTTGCAAACAGAGTAAACTGATATTATAAATTCAGTTGGTTGAATTTGAATCCAATTTGAATGAAGTCAAGATCGAGTTTCTTGTTGAAGCAAAGACAAGACCAAAAGAGAAAATAATAAACATGATTGTAGGTATCTGCAACTTTAACAATTCAAGATATTCATATTATTATTACACCGAACTCATCAACATGTAGAGGACTCCTGCCGTGTTGTGAGAGCAAGCACTCAATCAAAGTGACAGTAATGGTAAAACAGTCAAAGTGATCATAGTGTATTATTTATTTATTTTTTCATAGTTACTATTCTATAACTTCGGGTGTTTATTTGCTGAATTTGTGTTTTCCCGTATACTTTATATTCCGATGATATATATTTCTATCTAATATTCTCTGAAAAGTGCGCTTCTCTTTGAGGTTAATATAAATGGTAAAAAGTATAGACCTAAACAGCTTAAAAGTGTAAAGTGGCACATTATAGCAATATATCTGGTGACATCTTTTGCAACTGAGATTGTTTCATCCCATTGTCTTCAGTGCTCCACTTATTGTTGTCAGCGAGAGTCAAAATGTATTTTATTGTTTACCTTTTACCTCCAGTTTGCTCATTGCCTCAAAGCTCTAAAGGAAAATAGGTCTAGAAAACTAAACATAGGACAGAACATTCCTATATACAGCCTACTGCGATACGTTTGCTTTGCATCATGTTGATCCTGCTGGTGTAAATGCATACATCTTTGCTTTTAGGTGTCTAGATTCAACCATTAGTGCTTCCTAGAACACCCAGAAGAGACGTTTACAACAGTCTTTAAAACATTCACACAAGCCCTAAAAAGTTCTTAAGGGAGCAACTACTGCAACATCAAAATGATTTTATAGTATCATTAAAACTCAAATTAGAATAGTAAAAGATCCCATTAAGAGAAAGGCCAGAAAGTAGCAATGCTTCCCGTGTCATTACTAAAGTCTGACTAAAGTTTCACACTAAAGAATGACTAATGCTTTATTCTTTTCTGGTGGCAATCAAAATGTTTTTGTTTGTTTGTTTGTGCGAACACCTGCTGACAGCCTTGACAAACAATGTCATGTTTTAAAGGAAATAAATTATGTTGAGAAAGGCACTGAATGAATGCTGAAATCTGATCTGCTCTGCTCTGCTCTGCTCTGCACACACACACACACACACACACACACACACACACACACACACACACACACACACACACACACACACACACAAAGGGTATGTATTATTTTGTCTAATTCTTTATAGGTTTTCTCATAACCTTATTGTAGTAATTAGTGATGCTCCGATCGCCAATTTTGGGGCCGATCATCGGAATCAGTATCAGGATTTCTGCTTCACACACGTTGCATACCGCTATTTTACGGTCTTTTTCGGACACCTTAAAATACTGCCAGACTGGTGAAGCCATTTTGGCGAGCTTGTTTTGCCGCGCACAGAGAAAAGTGTCACATATTTTACGTCATGTGATCGGCGCATCCCTAGTAGTAATTAAGAATTCCTGTGCAATTGTCAAGGGCCTTTACACCTCTTTAAACCTACAATAATGTGGGCTGCCTACGATAACAGCTACAGATGGACAGGTTCACCTCGATCAAGAGAATAGGTAAAGAGGAGGGAGAAAGAAAAAGGCACTTAGATTATGTGGAGAGCATTCAAGGGAAGGATGCTTCCGCTTACACAGCTGCCATTAAACAGCCCACTTACCCATGAACACAGACAGGGGCTGAAACACAGACACACACAGCTGTTGTGGTGCTACTAGCCCACAAAACGGAAACATACAGCTAACAGCGGGCACAGAGGATTGTGGGAAATAATCGCTCAGGAAACTGAATATGAGGAAGGAGGAAGACAGTGATAGAGATAAATGCGAAGGAAGAGAAAAATGTGTGTAAAGTGTTCAGTTCCGCTTTTCATCCCACGAGTGCAGTTGACAATACATGCACTCATATATACATTCACCACAGTGTTAGAGTGTTAGAGCCACGGCTGTCTTCGAGGGCTTCAAACGGGCCTGAACTGTGTCTCTGTCTGAGAGGAAGCATGAAGGCAACAATGAATCGCCTCAGAATTAGTTTAAAAGTACCAGAGCCTCCGTTAAATAAATGTGAGCAAATGCTATTGAGCAAAGTATTGAAACTGGTTGCTTATACAGCTGGAATATAGCTGAATTTTATACCTCAATAGTAAAAAGAATATTTTCAGATATACAGCAAATGTCATTGACAGTAAAAATATGCATCAAAAAACGTAACTGTCTATCTGCAACTGTTTTTCACTGTTAAGCATCAATTGAGACAGAACTCTTTCAAAACTGACTTTGTGTTAGATTTGAATTACATGTATATCATATATCAACTTAAAGTGGACCTATCATGCTATATTTGAACAATATATTGTAGGGCCATACCTATATAAAGTATATAAATATAGTTTTTTTTTTCAAAATACCAAACAGATCCTGCATTTTAGCCATGCCTCATTTCACTCTATTTGCTCTTTCCAGCCCTGTTTTTGCAAGGGCTGATTCTGTGACGTAGCTTTAATGCAAATGAGCTGCAGCTGACCACGCCCCCGGAAGTCTTCTTCGCTGCTTTTGTGGCAGACTACAGCGCCACTTACATGCCTGGCATATGTACTACAGTGTCTCCAGCGCTTTCGAGCTGCAATGGCCGGCCGTGGCCCAACCCCACATTCCCCTGATAGGTGGAGAGTTGCCCATATAGGCGGAGCACCCCTTTTGTGACGTAGAAAACAATTCAAATCTGGATCAGTCTGTATCAGATCCGTTGCAGCCACCTTTTTAGAGATTTGGGTATGGAGGAAAAGAGAGAGGATTGTGTTTTCTGACACTTGGTGAGTTCCCCGACACACCGTGGACACGTATTCATGTATAAAAGACGTACAAAGTCGCATTTTGCATGATAGGTCCCCTTTAAAGAAGATTTTGTAAAAAGAAAGCATGATATGATTATATAATCCACTGACCGTCCATAAACAATGATACTAAATCATTACGCTGCTCAAGTATACCATCATGAAAAGGATTTTCGTGTCAGTGACATTGATCCCTAACAACACTGAAAAAGAATCCACACAATTAGGGTTAGGTTGAAAAAAAGTTCACCTTACAAAATGTAATGAGTATTTGTTTATGATAGGTGTTGGTGGAAATTAAAACTGCTAATTTGCAAGTGAGAGGATATTTATAAAATTAGGAAATGAAACACAATGCACTGATTGCTTCTTTGCAATTTTCTTTGCAGGACAAACCCCCTCCAGTGCCGACACAAAGCCCTTTACAAAACATCCACACATGCAAACATCCACACATACACACGCACGTTGAGCCTAAGTGTTCCAGAGGGAGCGTTAGTACACAGCCTTGAAGGCAGAGGCAGAAATAAGGAGGATGGGGAATGGGCTCGTCTGTAGGACCAGACAGCCTAAGAGAACACAAATCAGCAGATGCATTTGGCTTGTGACACTGACAGCGATATAATGAGACAGTCACACACTGCTGGTGTTTGTGTGTGTGTGAGCACCTGCCCCACACACATATTGAGGCAGCAGGTCCTAAGGGTGGTGAGAGAGATTATGTCAATCAAAGCAAGACAACTAAGTAAATGCAGACTGACAGAAAACAGAGAGGCCACGTTTTCAGTGAAGTACCAACAGTTGTGTTGTGTTTGATTGATGCACAATAGTTTAATGGCTGGGCTGTGCAATGGGGACAATTATTGTTTGTATACCGATATAATTACAAATGTGATAAGGATGTGACATGTTTTGTATTTGTCTTAGGGCTTGATTTACAAATTAGGTGAATAACACCCCATCATTACAAGTCAATCTTTCTTATATCCTGCATTAGCTTCATTCATTACATTACATTACATTACATTGCATTTAGCTGACGCTTTTATCCAAAGCGACT